CCCCCCCCACCTTTCCTCCCTCCCTCCCTCCCTCTGTGTGATGTAGCTTGTTGTAGGAGATTTGGGGAAATTTTTTGCTTCTGTAGATGGCATCCTTTGCACAGCTCTGGTTTCTGTTCTAGAATTGCTGGTCTGATCTGGTGCTTGGGCCAGTGATCAAGTCTGTGAACTCACAGCCAGCAAAGCCTTGTGAGTTGCCCTGGTTAATTCAACTCATTTCAGCAATTGGTGTTCTGGATCCCCAATTAGTTTACTGACAGGCACTATACCTGAAGCTTTGAGCTACAGGGTCACTTTCCTTCATCCCAGTAATCCCCCTGCCTCATCACCTGCCTCATCAATGCAATAAATGGCAGCTCCTGCAAACATCAGAACTACATAGTAGCAGAAGAAGGTTCTGGAGTGTTGTTGCAATTATTATTGCTATACAGCAAGCCACTTGAAAATTCAGTGAAATAAAAAAGCAATAATGCTTATGTATTCCATAATTTGGATAGGACACAATGGGGATGATTTTTCCTTGGTCCAAAATGGATGAAATCTCTTCTGGGAAGATATATTAGTTAGGGTCTGCAATCATTTGGAGTTATCTTTACTCAAACACCTAATGATTTATCCTGGGTTTTGGCTAGGACTTTTTCTGGCTATGGACAGGAGCACCTACACATGGCTTCTCCATTTGGTTATGTGTTTAATACATATTCGAGTGATACAAGGATTATGTGTTTGCAGTTTGTAGGAATCACCACCAGATGGTGACATTTTAAAGTTTAACACATTTTTAAAGAAAATAGATAAACTATACAAAAATGCAAGACTAAGCGATGTGGATATAGTATAAGCTGCTGTAAGGTCATTTTCTATGCCAGAAAAACATTTTTGTAACCAAAACACTAAAGAGTAAGTAAACTTAAGTAGACTTGTGTAAGTTAACTTGCCCTTTTCTTTACAAGGATTTAGAGGAGCCATCCATGTTTATGCACAGCCACAGTAAGTTTTTATTGATTCAGCAAATGAGATTGTCCTCTCAAACTCTGTCTCTGGACTAAATACTCTTGGTACTGCTTCAATACAGTGAAATTTTAAGTACGTCTATCATATAGTTCAAAGACCAAGGGCAATTAAGGAGGATTATCTTAGTTTTGGTTTTTTTTAGTTCCCCCAACCTACATCAATGAAAAGAAAGACAAGGCAGGAAAATGGATATTATTGTCTGCCAATACCATTCTTATGCTTCTTCCCACTCAGGGCCTCGCACTTGCAATGCAAGTGCTCTACCATTTGAGCTGCTCTGCTAGCCCTTTTTATACTGGTTATTTTGGAGATAGGGTCTCACTTTATGCCTGGGCTAGCCTGGACCTTGTTTCTCCTAGTTATACTTCCCAGGTTGCAGGGATGACAGGTACATACCACAGCACCCAGCCATTGGTTGAGATGGGGTCTTATAAGCTTTTTGCTGGGGCTGGCCTCAAACCACAACTCTCTAGATCTCTGCTTCCCAAGGAGCTAGGATTATAGGTTTGAGCCACAGTACCAAGCCAGAAATTGCATTTTAAAAGGCGGCAGTGTTTCCTTTCTCCTTCAGCAAATCATACATGTAGATTTATCAAAATCTTTTACACATTATTAGAAGTTTCAGTTATTCTCTTAGGAAGACATTTAATGTTAATGATATGTAACATGAGACAGATTTCCCCATTTCTCCTTGTGTTAAAATAGCCATTTATTTTAGTTATATGAAATCTTTTAAAATAAAATTTATTAGTAGTGAGCACACTTTTAAGTTTGAATTTATGCATTGAGACTTGCTTTTACAAACATTGCTAATGACATTACATCAAATTTAGATGAGATATTGAGTAGTTAAGACATGGAGAAATTTCATAGAGATAATTATTTTGAAAATGACTTCTTGGCAGAACACTTGGAAGCCTCTGTGAAGTAATTTATAATTTTGGTTCAGTATAATGACAAAAAAATGAAAAGTTATTCTAAAATATAATCCACTCAATCTCTAAATAAGTTGTATGAGTGAGGTGGGGTATACAAAGTCTAAGACCATGTAAAACACCAATAACTTTGGAAAAAGCATTTAAGTAACATTTAATACAGTTTTGCAGAAATATTAGAATAACAATTTAAAGAAAAAATTTTTGTAATATTTATTACAAATATATTGGCAAGGTGATTTCTGCATTTTTTGATATAATTCATTTAAAAATTAATCTTGAAATATATACCTTATAATCATTTTAATAAAATACATGTTGAATTGTTTCTTTGTTTGAGATAACACGTGTTGTCTTTGGGGAAGAACCAAAATAGCACTTAATCTTGAAATAATATTTGATGTAGTGTTTTTCTGTTTTAAGAATGGCTACAAAAGTCTGCCCAGTCTTCAGCTTTAAGAACAGATAATTTTATTTTAGACTCAGAGGATTTTCCTCCACTTTTTCCAGAAGCTTGTTCCTCTAGTTGTTGCACTTCTCAATACTTAATCTGACACTGTTTTCCCCTAATTTCCATCCAAATAGACAAAACAATTCTAGAATGAAGTGTACACTTAGCAGCTTGCTATAATTTGGATCTTAAAGGTTCACAGGGTGAAGTCTTGGTTCCCAGGGAAGTGCTTTTGGAAGGAGTGTGAAGCCTTTTGGGCGTGGGGCCAGTGAGGAGATCATTGGTGACATGTCCCCAAAGGGAATGTGGGTCACTCTAGTACCTTCCTTTCTTTTTCTCCCTGGCTCACCATGAGGTGAATTGTTTTGTCCTGCCATCTACTCCCATGATGTGCTGCCCCAAAGTAATGGAACCAATGGATCATGGACTGGGACCTCTAAGACTGAGCCAAAACAAAACTTTTCTCTTTGTAAGTTGGTTGTCTCAGGTATTTATTATAGGGAAGGAAAGCTAACAACAAACCCTTTCCAATAATGTTTGAATTAAAAGATTACTTCTAATTCCAATTGTAACATGCAGCGCGTTTTTTGTTTTAAAAGCCATCTTGACATACTGAAAAGATGAAAAGAAAAACTGCTCAGATATTTAAGAGAAAGGAAAAAAAGGACTGCCCATTAAACTATTTGTATTTTATAGAAACAAAGGGAACAACTATAGACTTAGGGATATGCATATTTCTTCCAAGTTAGAAGGGAATTTGCCTTTTTACATTGTACTTCCTGAACATCAGAATAAAGCTAAAGCAGTAACTGGATAAGCTTGTTTTGCTAGCCACGGTTAGGGAAGTCTCTTCAAATATAGCTCAGAGTTTTGCTACATCTCTTCTGTTCTCCAAATGTCTCTTTCCTCCTTGCAATAAAGGCCAACATTGTATTTAGAAACATGTGCATAAGGACAAGGTATTCATTTGACAAACACAGGCATAAACAGTACACTAGGCCAAGATTTGAATTAGAAAAAGTTTTTTAGAAATTGAATAAGACACAGAATCTTCCAGTCACCACAGTGTGTGATCTTTAGGTAGCACATAAAATGCATTTAGTGTTTGCACTAGTTCCAGCTGCTCACACTAAAAATAATAAAATGGTAAACCAGTAAAGGTTGTATAAATCAACAAATGGAAGGAAATCAGTCTCAGAACAAAGGTGCTGGTTCCCCAGTTGGAAGCTGCTCAGCCATTCTGGCTTCAACCAGTTGACCCCTGGCTTTCTTCCTCTCTTTTTCTGTAAGCTTTATTTAACAGCTGGATTTCTTCCTCATAGCCATCCCTCTCTTGATGTTGCCTCTTACTGTTCTGTCTGTGTGCTTCCACAGTGTCTGGAATGGAGATGTTGATATCACCATCAGGATTACTTGTGGGTAAAAAGAGGGAGTATGAGGCTGTTTCCCCTAAATCACATGAAACAAATCTGTTCTCTTTCCTTGAGTAGCGTAGTGAGGGAGACCTGACTTGGGTGGAGGACTGGCTGATGTTGCTAATGATTGACACAGTGTCCAAGGCCTCTTCATTATCACAAATTTCAAGAACCTCCAAGTGTATCTTGACACTGGTGTCTGCAAATGTAGGACGACAATCCTCTGAGTTTGGTTCATGGCCAACACTTTTAGATCGATAGACTTCTATTTTCTTAGAGGCTGGAGTTATTTTTTGCCCTTCTGCGCTGACCTCGTAGGTAGAAAGAGAGAGGGTTTTCCCAGTAGGCGCATGGAGAGACACGGTCCCCTGGAAGGCGCACAAAGGAATGGCAAGCCCACCACCAGAACGCTGGAGAGAAAACAAAATGGTTATTATTGAAAACTAGTCTCTGAGATTTGAAACATTTAGAAATTCATGTTGTGCATTAGCATATTAAAATTTCTCAGGTACATTTCCCTGGAAACTGTTTTTTGTGTTTGTTTGGCTTGGGTTTTTTTTTTTTTTTCAATACTGGGATTTGAACTCTGTACTTTGTGCTTGCTAGGCAGGCACTCTAACTCTATCACTCGAACCATGCCTCCAACCCCTAGAAACTGTTTTCAGATAGGAGATTTAAATTCGAATACCAAAGCACATAGCTCAGTTTGTTCTAAGGTCAAATCCAACACCCAAATGAAGAACCTTTCTTTGAAGACAGAGTATTTCCACAGATGAAGGCAAAATTTGTGTACTAAAGGGAAACAATGGATGTTTCCAAGGGCAGAATTTTGTCATAAAATTGAATGCATGTTTACAATGTGGAATTCCTTTTATAGTTTTGTTACATCTTCAGTTACATTTAAAAGCTTGCAGAGGTTGGTTAAGCAAAAAAAATATTTGAACTGTAGATTTGAGCATACATAAGAGGAACCAAATGTCACCAGAAATGTGCTACAATGTGCATGCTTTTCCACTGAGACATCAGTCATTAAAGTACTCTCAACAGTAGGGAAATTCTCCATAGCTCTGTAAAAACTTCCTTGAAAGTTTAAACCTTTAATATTCTATTTTGTATATCATTTTATAAACAATACTCACCATTGAGCAGTGCTTTAGATAAGAAAATTGATTCTTACAAAAGTCTGTGCTGCTGTATTGGTGATTCATGCCCTCATACTTTCAACTGACCCTTTTCTAATTACATGTTTGTTTGGAAGAAGATGATACTATGCAAAATTTCTCTGGCAGTGGTTCTCACTGAGTCCCTAGACCAACATCACTTGGTAACTGATGAAAGATACTTTTAAACCCTACACCTGATTTATGAAATTAGAAACTGTGGACAGTGTCCAGCAATCTCTATTTTAAGAAGTTTTCTGGGTGATTCTGTTGCATGATAAAATTTGAGATACACTGCTATAAACTAAAGAAACACTGCAATCCAGAAAAAGAAGGAAAGGGTATCGATTCAACAGTTTTATACATGTGCCTACTACCTATAAAGACTGGATTTGACTAAATATGTCTGTCTACCAAGGGAATTGGCAAGGGGGCTAATGATGTTTTACCAATTTAGGATAATCAACCTTTCTAATTTCCCTAAGACTGTCTTGATTTTAGCATTCAAATCACCACCAAGAAAGCCCTCAATCCCAGGCAAATTGTTGTGGCAGATGAGGGATGGGCGGTTGATTTGCCATGGGTATTTTGTATCAGAATCCAACAAGAATGACTAGAGAAAATCCAGGACCTGACTCCTACTATTGGAGAACAGTTTGGATTTGCTTCTAGTTAGAAAAGTCTTTAAGAGAGAATGAATTGGAGGTGTTTTTATTCTCTACTCTTTCATCGAATTTAGAACCATGAAAAATACCTTGTGGGATGTGTGTGACATGTATCCAGTTTTTCCCACAAATGCCCTGTGGAGAGGTCTTGGATTCTGACTATCTACTCGGGAGTCTAGGAACCTAACTTCAGGGCCTGTACCATAAACAGCCAAAAACTTTGAAAACTTATGCTGTAAAGTTCAGTTTATGCTCCTGCAGAGGCCAAACTGCACATGTACCATGTTGACAGAAGCAGGAAAGGGAGAAGGATACCAGTTACATTCATCAGTGCTCCAGAACACAATTTGAGTGGTGGCAACTTTTAGCAGTGGGAAAGTGTTTTGTTTTGTTTTTTAATTTATTTTGCTTCATATGTTCATTAAACATTTGCTAAGTATCTATTATGTGCTAGAATCTGAGCTTACATAGAAAGTGCAGAGAAACTCATGATTCAAAGAACTCACAAATGAGAAAGACCTGAAGAAACAAAATTTTAGCACTAAACGTAGCGATTGAGATAAGAGCCAAATTCTATGGGGTCCAAGGAATGGCTACCTCTGGTAGATTTCTTGTAGGAACAACATTTGAAATTGATCTTTAAAAAAAGGCAGCATTAAAATCTTTTCTTCTGTTTTTCCAAGTAAATCCTTTTGTTTATTGGTGGTGCCCAGGCCAGTTTATTGAACAATATGGCCACTTACCAACAAACAGTTCCAGAAGGCTTGTCCCACAGTCCTTGAAACTGTAGCACAATGCTGAGCCATTTTAGTTTTTTCACGTATGTGTTACACTTATGGCTGATAATGGAGGGGAAGATTTGGCAGTGTTACACTGTTAAGCTAGGTTGCATCCATCCTTTCAAATGACATTAGTATCAGTTCCCTCATCCTTGGTATCAGACTTCACAAGCCTTCCTAGTGACCAATCATGACTTAAAGGATGATCCTAAAGTCTTCCCATCCTGAGAAAATATTTTATTATCAAAGACAGAAACTTCAATTTCTTTTATAATCAAAATTGATAATCATTATTCAATCAAGCACTGTCATCTGATAATGTGATTTATAAATAGTCTCCTGAGATCTAGTTAATCTGCAAACTGGACTCCCTTATGTCATACTTTGTTATGAGAAAAAAGTCCCACCTCAGTGCTTCAAAAATTGTTTCTAAGTATTTTGCTTTTCATGGTACACTGTATAAACAAGGTGCTATGGAGTATACTAGCTTATAACAGAAAAATGTGTTGAGAAAACTGAGTTATCAAAGTGTCCCAGTAGTATAGACATGTCTATGTAAAACAAACAAAAAAAGAACATTCACTAGAACACTTACCACATAATCATGTCTTTATAAATACCAGCCAGCACCACCAATGAACAAGTTAATATAAAAGCAAATGAGATGAACTTTTCTGTGTCTGGTTTTATACCTCTATCTAATGCAAATTCAGGAACTCTCCCATGCTTATCTTACCTTCAGATGAACAAATTTTACTGAGTTATCAAATGACAGCTCATTAAAATTAGCTTTTGAGAATTGCACATTTTGGTTAAGAATAATGTCTGATTTTTCTGAAATAGCACACAAAGTACTGAGTAATTAAAATCATTTTCTGACCCATTCAATTCAAATGAATAGTTCCTACTTGAGAGTCCTAGTAGTAAAAACACAGAGACAACAACAAAAACCAACCTGAATAAAAATATGCACAGGATTTGAGTAGCTATTTCTTTAAAGAAGATATACAGATGACCAAGTAACACATGAAAAGATATTTACCATCACTATTAAGGAAATATCAATCCAAAGTACAGTGAGATACTGATTCACACCCATTGAGGTAACTATCACTAAAACAGAAAATAACAAATGTTGAGGAGCACATGAAGAAATAGGAGCTCTTGCACACTCTGGGTAGGAATTTAGTATGATGTACGTGCTATGAAAAATGATATGGTAATTCATCAAAAAATGAAAAATGGCAATTACCATATGATCCAGCAGTTCAACTCCTGGGTATACACACAAAAGATTTGAAAATAGGGTCTTGGAAAAATATTTGTACATTGGTGTTCATAGCAGCATTATTCACAGTAGCTAAAAGGAGGATCCAAGAATCAATCAATAAATGAAAGGTTAAACAAAATATATGGTATATGCATACAATGGATTATTATTCAGCTTTCAAAAAGAAGGAAATTCACACATATGTTATGACATGAGTGAACATCAGGGCATTATGCTAGGTGAAATAGGTCAGCAACAAAAAGATAAATACTGTGTGATTCCAATAACATATGGTACGGAGAGCAGTCAAAATATACACAGAAAGTAGAATGACTGCAGGGGCTTGGGAAAGGAGGAATGGAAAGTAAGCTTTTAATGGGTGTGGAGTTTCCATTTTTTTCAGATGAAAAGAGGTGAAGATGAAGGATAGTGATCACTGGTTAGCAATATAAATATACTGTATACCACTGAATTGTATATTTAAAATGGTTACATAGTACAGTTTATGTGTATTTTTTCACAATTTAAAATTAGGGGGAACCCCACAGAAACATTGTATAGAAGCAGATCTGGGCATATGTTTATACTATTAATCTAAAATTGACAAGTTACCTTCAACAAAACAGTATTACCTGTCACTTTAATTTCATAATTTTAATTATTCTGGTTTGTAAAAATTTAATGTATAAATGTTGTTTAATTATAGGGTCATATATAAATTATAAGTGTAAGGAGTTTATACCATATTTTATTTTTATGTGTATAAGAAAAATGATAAAACCTGATTTGACAGGGCCATTGAATTTTTTTCCTTTATATGGGTTTTATTTATTATTTGAGTTGAAGAAACATTGCTCTAGGCAAGAGAAAATGGGAGCTTGAACTAAAGGAGCTGTGATAAGGATAGAGAAACAAGGAAAGAGCTGAAAGAATTTGAGTAAAAACAGAATTTTTCTCCTCTCGAGAGAATGCAGAAAAGACTAAAATGGAGAAAAATTAGAAACCCAAATGAACTGAATCACTGTTAGGTACAAAAGACTGGGTTAGCTAATAGGTTCTTTAGCAATGAGACGAAGATGCTGTCATGTGAAGACCCCATGGATGACAGAAAGCCTCAGGCTCATAAACAAGTGCATTTTCATGTGATTCATTCCATAGTAGACCCAGGCTGGAAATACTGGGAAAGGGTCTTAGCCTAGGTGCAGGGAAAAGAAGACTTGAGAGCCTTCCTACAGCAGGGCTCAGAATTCACAGATGAGTGAAACAGCCAATATTAGAGCTATTTTCTGATATTGTTCTAGAGGTTTTGGGGCAAAAATCAAGAAAACCAAGAGACAAATATTGAGTAGGAAAAACAAGACCATCACAATTCACAGATGAAAATATTGTCTGCCTAGAAAGTTCTAGAGCATGCTAAAAAGAACTAGTTAGGGGAGCTAGTAAGGGTTGAGTTCTAGGTGAACATTAGAAATCAATAGCTGTTGCCAATCAAAAAAATCTATTTTAACAAGATACAATTCAAAATAACAAAACTAT